AGTGCCAGCTAAAAACAAAAGGCAACAGCTGGCGTTTGGAACCTCAGAAGCCTAACATTCTTCCAGATGGGAATCGTTCCAATCATTCTGGCCCAAATGCTTCAGGAAATTTGTCAGTGAGTTAATAAAAGCAGAGACCTGCTTCTCTGGTTTCCCACAGGGGTGTCTGGGGGTCAAAAAATTCAGGATGAGAGCCCACCATGCAATTGAGGCATCACGCATGAGAAAGGGCGGGCTTCGCTTGTACGGCTTTGGCCATCATCTTCACTTTTTGGAACTACTCCCCCTCCCTGGACACCCCCAGTTTCTTGCCATCTGGATTAAGTTGCTGTTTATGAGAGGAGCTACCAACAGACGCCCCTCCTTTCTCTAGGCTGTTTACGTCAAGCTCTCCTTCCATTACGCTCCCTGTCTACAGCTGCAGAACACACTAACTGCTGCTGTCATCTAGTGGCCATCTGGATTTCTGAAGCCCATATTAGCCTCCACTGATTCATTGAACAGAACACAAAAAGAAGGTGTGGGGGGGGGGCAGGGGGGGAACAGAAAAGAAAAATGAGAAAAGAAAAAAAAAAAGCAAAGAAGATTGTAAAAATAGCCCTAAATTGGGAGCAGGGGTGCTGTGGGGAATCTAATACGGATCTAGAGGTAATCCAATTTCTGGATCTGGAGAAAGATGGGAAACTCTGTATTCTTTCATAAGGTGGTATTAAAAACCCACAGCTGACTGTGTTTAAAATAAAAATACCTAAATGGGATCAAAGTTGTAGCCAAGGTAGAGAGTATTAAAACTGATGCTGGCTGTGAAAGCCTACACCAAGACGCTGTATTACGTTGACCTCTTTTCATAGAAATTAATGCTGAACATTTTCAAAGTACAATCCTTTTTTTTTCAAAGGGAGCGTAACGTTGTTTATTGCATGATGATGCAATAAAATCGTAGTAGCTTCTTCTGTGTGGAACAGCTACCCAAATCCCAAACAACCTAGCTCTAATACATGCACCTTGCAGGTCATGTGCACAAAGGAATGATTTTTCTCTAATGCCCATGGCCTTCAGCTAAGAGAGGCCAAGGCAGGGTTGTCCTGTGTCCATGTGTGTGTGTGTGTGTGTGTTTCAAACATGGCAGGTTTCATTCATAGTGGGGTGCGAACTTCAACCATATGCTCACCATGGCCTGCAAAACTTGATTCTGATGTAACTGCAAGGGCTTGGGAAATCAGTGCTGCATTTGCAATTCCAGGGACTGCACAGACGACGATCAGATCTGACCAGAGCAAGAGAGGAAGGCTTAAAAGACAAATATCAAGCCGCAAGAGCGGCTCACTACAAGGAAGGTAGAGTCTCACAGAGGGCATTTCCAGCCTGCAGCCCAAGCTGCTTGTCTCCCTTCTCCTCCCAACTGTTGCTTTGGCCAGTTTCAGAAATTCCACTCTAGATTGCAGTGGCTCTCAGTCTGGACTCCAGGCATCAGATGATTTGAGTGGTCATTCCCCTGCTTCTTCCTCTTCCCATCCACACAGGGAAGGCAAGCCTCACTGGCTAGCTCCAGTGTGGTTGGGTCTACCTGTACCTGCCTTTTCCTTTTAGGGCAGTGTTGTCCAAACTTGGCCACTTTAAGATGAGTGGACTTCAACTCCCAGAATTTCCCCCGGCGCCATGGCGGCCGGGGGATTCTGGGGAGTTGAAGGCCCCCCTCTTTAAAAGGGCGAGGTTGGGGAAAACTCGCC